CAACAAAAAAAAAAAAAAAAAAAAAAAACACAACTCGATCCACAGGTTTGAGGCTGTAAATGCAGCCATTTGAACAAGAAACCATTTTCAGAGCAGCCGTGCAGGAACCGCCACCTTTAGCAGTTAACTATTCAACAGGCAGTGATGGGGAACTGACTGCAGAATGGAAAACAACGCACATAAAACTATCCAAGTACCAGGTGATGTGGTAGAAGCCTATAAATGTGAAAAAGCTTGTGGTACTCAGAAAACCATGGTGTTTATGAAACAGGAGGTTTAGGAGCAGTCATATGTACATGGTCATGAAACAGACTTTAACAAGTTTTCAGAACTATTCCAATGGAAGTCTTACAAACTTTAATCTTCAGAACAGTATGTGAATATTCTGCAGTGCTCACCCAACGATTTACAACAATAACAATATCCAAACAATACAGAATATGAAGCAGTAAGTGCATACATTATGTTCTTCTCCCACTTCACCCAACACTTGTAAACTTCTGTGAAAAATGACTGCGATTTAACCCGAATCCAAAAATATTTCAGTGGAGTTATGCTAGTAACAAATGCATAAGAGAGCTGACTCAAGCTCTGGCAGGGAAGGCCTTAACATGACTTGCATTAAATTTTCAAACCCAGAAATGCAGTGTTAATTCATTCCAGTGTTCTACAGATTTTTAAGCACAAGGTGAGGATACACTGTAAGTTACACATTTAGAAGAGGCTACAGGAGAATGTGGTAAATCTACATGCAAGTTTAAGGACACAGTGTAAGCTGCATTTGCCTTCAAGATGACAAATCCAAGGTTACATTAGCAAGAGGAAAAAGGACAACTTTTCCAGTGAGGTTAGCAGTAGCACTGTCCCACAGATATATATATATATTATTTTTTTTCTAAGTGTTTTGCTGCTACAGACTTTGGTGATCTTCCCCCTTTAGCTGCTTTACATTATATCCATTTATAATTTCCTTTCTGCATGTAGCACTTGGGATGAGAGTCTGGCAACCACCACCACACTATGTTACAGTGACATGTCTTACAATAACAGATTGAGGGAACTGGTGTTACTCAGCTTGGAGAAGAGAAGGCTTCAAGGGACCTAACAGCAACGTGCCCATACCTACGAGAAGATTGTCAGGATGACAGCCAAGCTATTACAGTGAGAAAGGGTGTAAATTGAAACAAAATAGGATCAAACAGGACAGAAGAAAATTTTCCACCATTAATACAGTCAAGCAGTGAAACAAGTTGTCTCAAAAGGCTGTGAAGGCTCTGTCATCTTTCAGTTTTTTGAGGCTTGTTTGGATAAAGCCCTGACTAAGATCCTCTGAGCTGGTCCTGCTTTGGGCAGGAAGTTAGACTAGAAATCTCCCGAGGCCCCTTCCCACTTGAGTTAGCTTACAATTCTACTTACTCTTTTTGTGGCACCCTTCCTAAAAGCAGGGCTGGCAGCCTAATCCTTATGTTTTAATTATTTGACATGATTACCCAACATGTAAGTGCTGCTGCCTAATCAGCCAGATACATCAGTATGAGAAACACTGCAAAACAAATTTATTGCCAACTCATGTCCAAGAGTTTAAAGGACTGATGGGCCCTGACTGATACCAGGTATTCCACATGGCAAAACAAAAAACTACTCTCTAGCCAAAAAAGAGAATAAAATCTGGTTGACTATAAACACGAACCTAAGTATGTATTTAGGTTCTTAGCCCTCTATCTGGTCTAAGATTGATTTCCTGCAATTTGCAAGCTTTCAAATGCTACCTGCTAATGTAGCAACACCAACTTCTGTTTGCAGGAACGGTTTGCAGGGGTGCAGTTATACCTATAGGTACCATAGGAACACATTCATTACTGGGCTGAGCCATGGTACTGCATGCAACAAGAATTAGCGATTTAGGCACTGGAGTTTGAAAACTATACTTTCAGTTATACTTGACCAAGTTTTCTAAATGGAATTGCTCTTCCATAAGCTATATAATCAACAGAAGAACTGAGATTACTGTCAGACATCATAATATCCCTTAATATTACTGGATGCAACATATTATATTATCATCTTCCATGCAATTTGACCTGAGCTTTAAATAAATTAGTAAAGACTGTTTTATTTCTACAACGCTTAAAACACACGTGGCTATGACAAGTGTTAAATTATGAAGAAGATTCCTTATGGCTGCCTAGACTCATGGGTTTCTAGGTGTCATCAGATCCATGCAAGACCTCCCTGGCCAAACTCTGCTACTTCCAGATGCAGAGTATCAACACAGCATGCTACCTGCCCTGTAGCATGCTAAAATTGCTAGCATTTCTAAAAGTCTAATGTAGAATTTGTAAAAGTCTCACTAGAAATCATGCTATTTCATCAAAGCCAGTGAACATAACTGTGATGAGACCACTGCTCCATCATCTAATAAACTCATTCTACACTTCTAAATATTTTTTCAATATGACTGCAATTGAACAATATAGAAAGGGTTATATTTTCAACTTCTGGGAGGCCACTGGAGATATTATAAACTGCATGGAGCAGAGCATGTACTTTCCTGAACTCCACCATCCTGAGATTCACGTACTCGGACATTAAACTTGGTCCCATTTCACTCACAGCTATACTTATGAGGACCAATGTTTTGTTCCCTAGAAGGATTTTCATGCAGGAATATGGGCAAAAGCCAGAGCAAATAAGCATTTTCCCACATACAAGTTTCTTTTATTGGTCATAACTACTATTCTGAAATTTGTTATGTCACAATAACTTCAAAACAATTTTATGTTTATATACTCATAGACTGTACTTCTGAATGTGTAAAAAATCCAGCAGGTATATGAAGGTAAATAAAACCAGAACCCTGCAGTATCAGTAACATCAAAAGAAAAGTACCTACGTTTTTGGCTCTAGATGTAGTAAAAGTACATGGTGAAAGGAGACTTAGTAGTTAAAATACATTTGCATTGCTGTTAATGCCATCTCCGTTCACCAGTTGTGCCTGCTGATTTTTGTCAGATTAAATTCCCAGCTTTTCAGACACTTCTGTGTAAGTGTTAACACTATGTTTGAGCTTGGTACTTTTAGTTGCAACTACCCTCTCAGACTACAAACTCAGAACAGGGACTTACTTAAATTGCATTTGTATATCTAGCCAAGAAGCTAAAAAATGGTAAGTAGTTGCCAAATTTGATATTCCAAGAGGAAGCTGAGAGATGACAGTGTAATATTAATTATAGTTTAACTTTCCTCTTAACGAAGTGTGATCAGTGATGCAACGACAGAGAGGGCTGTAAGTGGAGACAATGGGGAAGCCCAGACTCACAGGCAAGGACTGGAATGGCGACAGAGACCTCTGGTGGGAACGAGGAGGGAAGCAATCTGGTGGTACCAAAGTCACCAGCTATTTCTCCAAGGAGCTTGTTTTCTGAAGGAGCTCTCCCATCTGTAAACTTTACACTCACATGTACACGATAAACGATCAGTAAACAGTCCATGTTACTTGTTTGATTTTGTTTGATATGACCAGCTGCTCTAAAACATCTCGGCAACGATCTGCAAAAGAACCAAGGAATTTCTTGTTATTCAGTCAGAATATATGTAGGTGGTGTTTAGGAAATAGGTAAACAGCAAAACAATTCAATTCTATATCTGCATTTATGCTTCTTTTGCTATTACAGTATCATATTTCAGATACACCTGTAGTAATTCAAAACCACTTGGTTCTTTCTCCAATCATGTAACTCTAAAGCATCACCAACCAACTGAACTTAAAAAACCACCAAGTTAGATCACAACCTCTCTTAAGTATGGGGTTTTTTTTCAGGCTGACCACTCCTACTCTATTCCACTGTTTCTTGAATGGATGCTATTCCAAACTTCTGGAATAGACGAGGGGTTTAAGATGCTAACTTACTTTTCTTATGATCAACTTTGTCCCTTTCACATGCTGATGAAGAACCAAAAAAAGGGAAGAAAGGAAAAAAACTCCAAACTCCAAAACAACAAAAAACCCCTCTCTGAAGGTTGCCATATTTCAAAACAAAACTCTCACCTTGCTTTGAAAATTATTTTATCTATTAAGTTATTATTTGTTTGGGAATATTTACAACCCATAGTGTGCTTTTTCAGAAAGCAAGAAGATACTATCAGGAAGTAATTACTCTTCTTTACTCCCTGCATTTGACCTACCTGTCACCAATGGGCACCCGTGGAACAGAAAAATGTGTATCTTGGGACAAGAAGTAAGGACCGCTTCCACAGCAACATCGGTCAGATTCACACAGCGCTCCATGTGGATCTCCTGATACGAAAACAGCAACAACAAAAGCCTGTCAGAGCACCCACAGTTTTGGAGGCAGAGCTTTCCTTTGCCCAACCATTTTCAGAGATCCCCACCCAGAATAAATTATGACCTACTATTCCTCCATACATTGACCCCATATGTGGGCCCATACAGACCAGGGAAATACCCTCAGGAAAAGTAAGACAGCTTTTCTATGAAAAGTCAAAACTAAAAACATAAATCTGAGTTCTCAAAACACATGCATCATTCAAGACATCTGAGAAAACTCTTCCATGAGGTTCTATGGTGTTTGAGTCCATCAGTTTTCCTATGACACATTTTCATAGCAATTTGTTGTCCAGGAGAATGGAATCCAAACTGAATTCTGGGGTTTCCCAAAACAGGCAGGATTTGAGCCTCTGCTGAAATTCCTAGTATCTATCTAGCTCCTAAAAGAAGTCTAAGAACTTCTTCCAAGTCTAGACTAAAACTTGCTCCATTCTTCGTTTCTCTGCAGTTGTGTAACTACTACCTGTAGTATGAGCTAGAGAAACAAATTCAGAATAAATTAACAGATTACCACCAAGGGTTTTTTTGGCCTCTAAACTGCCTTACACATCAATAAATATAACATACAAGAAGAAATGCAGAAAAGAGACTATCAAATCTAATGAAAATAGGATTTTGGAAAATATAATTTGGGGATTATGGGGTGTAAAAAAAACCCCACATTGTTTTATTGTATAAGAGTGTCTTTCCAATGATAAACTCCAAGAATCTTGAAAAAGCACAGAAATGAAAAGCATCTTTTCTAATAGATGCAACTTTGTACAGAATGATTACAGAAAACAAGAACTGTAACAGAGAAGCAAGATATACAGAAGCCAATATATGTATAGTTTTTAGTTCATTTTAATAAGTGAAATGCAGAATCTGAATGCCTTTGAATGAACTAAAAAGATTTATAAATCTGCCTGCTAGTTATAGTTTAAGAATTTTAAGACCTTAGTTTTTTCACTATGTACCTGACATTAGATAGCTGTCTATAAACTTGCCCTTTGATGATATGAAACAAGAGGTACGAGGATTGTGACAGACAAGTAAGAGAGTTACACTGAAGAAGAGATTGTAGCAAATAATCCCATATTCTCTATTAAATTTATTTTTCTTACTGCTTGTAAACCAAGAAAAATAATCTGTTCTAACTGTTTATACTGATAGAACACAACTTCTGTTTTTAAAATTGTTATTCCTCACAAAAACATTAAATTTTGCCTTAAAAAACTGCATAGACCGCCCCATCCCACCCCAAAAACCAAATGCAAAACCACTTAAATACATAGCTTTTAAGAAAGTGGAAACGAGTATTGAGAACAGGAAAATGAACAAACAAAATCCATACCACTATTCAGCGTGGCATGACTGAAATTTCCCATTAGTTCTTCTAAAAGCAAAGCTCACCACCTCAACATTACTTTAACACCTATAGATGAGGCAGGTCTTATGTAAGCTACTTAACTTTTTCTTCCTGATCTAGCAGAGCTTTCACAGGCATCCATCTGCAGCACACACAAAAGACAGCCTGAGCACTTTCAAAGAAATAGGAACTACAGCCACGTGACCAGGAAACACCAAAGGCCACATTTTGTAAAAAATAAATGGAACTGTGTCTTTATAGTTTGAAGGAAAAGGGTTTGCACATAAAAATATAATTCTCTGCAAACTGTGGACAACAGTAATACAGGAGGAAAGAAACACTGATGGAGTAATTATACCAACATTGCTGGAAAATAGTTCAAAACCCTCTGGGAACTTTACAGAACCCCACACCACCCAATAACAAGTGCAAAACTTATTGTAAAAGTTTATGAAAACTTACTACAACATTTACTTCTTGCATCTTGTGTTTCAAGACATATGTACTGAAGACTTTTGAGAGCGACCTAGTCTAAATGACCTATCCAAATCACAGTAACACACACTGCTTTACCTTGGTAGGCTGGATACGAGAGGTGTCTTTTAAAGATTATCTCAGGTTTGTTCAGAAAATCTGGAATCAATGTTTTGCTACAGCTAAAGGCACAACCAGCTAAAAGACAGGGATATTTTTAAGTTACTTCTAGTATATAAAAAAAAATATCATTGCTATGGTCTGAATAATAACTTCATCTTGTACCACAAGACTTATCAAGATTTAAAAGATTGTCCAAAATAGACAAAGTTAGCTGGAAAAAAAAAACAAAACCAGATCTGTTTGCCCTCCAAATAAAACACTAACAGTTCTATTTTTTCCAGGCTATTATGACTGTCAGTTGACCCAGATTCGGTATTTTGTTTAGAGTTGGTTTTTTTATTAAACACTATAACCTGGCAAAAGTATGATTTGTTTCCCATCCTAGTTTCTAGATGAATAGCTTGGATTCAGAACCAGCCTTGTACAAAAGCAAAACCACATGCACAGATAATAAATGTACTATATAGAAAAGTAGATGATCATTTATGGTAAGAGGTATGGGAGGCCTCTTCTCCACCACTTAATGCTGTCTCAGTGCCTACAGAAATTTTATGCAAAGACAAGTTCATTTTCACAGCTGCTTTCTTGAGTTAGAGATTTACCTACGCAGAGGTGCCAACTGATTTCTTAAATCCATGAAATTATCTGCATTACAAATTTTGCCTCAGTGTTCAACAGAATCAAAAAATAACTCCAAGGAAATCAAGGGAAAAAGTTAAGCATACATTTGCATTTATTATGCATCTAAAACGACAGGAGTTAAAATAAGCATACTACATTCAACAAAAGAAAACTCATTTTGAAAAAACTGAGGTTCTCAAAAAGCTGATCTGGGGCACTGCTACAGAGAGACAGAAAATACCCAATTCATAACCAAAAATCAAAGCAAGCGTGTACACAAACGAAGGCAAAAGTCAGTCAATAAAAACCATCCCTCAGAAGTAAAACATGCAGGTATTTGCATTTATTCATTTCTTCAGTATTAGGTTAAGTAAGTTACCTTTAAATTCTTTGAACATGTTCCACTCACTAGTGCTACAACGCCATCATCTGTTACCTAGAAAAAAAAACATGCTGTTATTAACACAATGGATTAAAGCTCATTTTTTTCAAACACAGCTATTTGGGGGGCGGGTGGGATTTATTCACTCTCTTCAGTCACTGAATACACTTAACAGTACAGTATTTTCTTCCCAAAATAAATTTGTAGAGAAAATTATTAAAGTGTGTTGTTTTCAGGCTCTTAAACACTGTTGCATTTTACTGTCATGTGATCCAGCCTGGTTTTCTACTGGCCAGTTTCCAACCATGTAACTGCTTTTTCTGCAGCTTCCTTGTCTCACTTAACAGTGGGTACACTATTATGGTCAAGCTTTTTAATTGATAAGGTTTAAAGCACTTTGCTCTCCCTATACCACTTTTTCTGCTGTTTTCAGGACTGCTGGAGATGTTCCTGAAAGAAGCTTCTTAAATTGGGGAGAAAAAAAAAAAAAAAGAGTAATCATAACAGTCTTTTATCTGTTGCCTTACTTATACCTATCCTGAAGCAAGCCAGTTACATAAAGCAAAAATCCCTCAAACAAACAGCCTTACAGCAGTCGGCACACACTCACACTAAAAGGTTTATCAAAGTGATTGGCTACAGACAGCCACCAAGCAATGATTATCTGCGAGAGAGAGGAGAGAGACAAAAGGTGCTTTCCTCAGAAAGGCAATGAAAGCCAATTTATTCATTTTCTTCCGGGAACCAAATTCATTAAGCTTCATCCCCAGTTCAAAAGCTGGATTGGATATCAGATCTGTCTCACAGTTTCTCTCACAGAGCTTATATTAGATGGCAGGAATATTTGTCAGCAAATATACACAGTAAGGCTCAGCCAAATTTGACAGCTAGAATCCAGAGGCTACAAGCTCCATTTCTATTTAAAGATTTTATTATTCCTGTTGCAGAAATTGTGTTACTGCCTTCTGGCCCTCTTCTGCAAATCTACTGCACAGAACTGTAACGGAAAGGGTCAGATCAGCACGAATGGACAGGAACATCCCTGCACAGAGGCACATAAAGGCCTACAAGAACGACAGGTATTGTCAGTGCCTCGCTTAGCAGGTCATCAAGATGACAGCACATTTAGCTCCTAGACCAGGAGAAAAAGGGCTGTAAATGAATAAATTATAATAACTCCCATAAGTGGGATAGAAGGGAGACAGTAATCACTATCAGTTCCTAAACAGTATAAAATGGCACATCCAAAACCAGTGCATGGTCAACAACCTAAGAACAACCTGAGTAGGTGATGAAGATTTGACAGCCTGTGTCCCTTATCCTCCATGTCATCAAATTAAACCTGGAGCAGACTGCCTGGTTGGTGCCTGAACACTGGAGAGACCACCTGAATGCTACTGTGTTGATGCTTGTGAGTATATGGTTATGTCAGTGTGAGAGCATGAAACCAGTCTGGTGTTAAAACGAAGTCCCCTCGCTTCCCTGTCTGAGCTCACAGGAACTATTGCTACACTACAACTAGTGTTGCAGTATTGTTACCTACTCTATAGAATATCAGGGCCAGGAAGATGATCAGAGGGCTGGAGCACCTCTCCTATGAAGACAGGCTGAGGGAGCTGGGATTGTTCAGCCTGGAGAAGAGGAGGCTCCAGGGAGACCTTATAGCGGCCTTTCAATATCTGAAGGGTGCCTATAGAAGAGCTGGGGAGGGACTCTTTGCCAGGAAGGGTAATGATAGGACAAGGGGAAATGGTTTTAAATTGGAAGAAAAAAGATTCAGATTAGATCTCAGGAAGAAATTTTTTACTATGAGGGTGGTGAGACACTGGAACAGGTTGCCCAGGGAAGTTGTGGATGCCCCATCCCTGGAAGTGTTCAAGGCCAGGCTGGATGGGGCCTTGAGCAACCTGGTCTAGTGGGGGGTGTTGGGACTAGATGATCTTTGAGGTCCCTTCCAACCCTAACCATTCTATGATTCCATGATATCTGTGTGGATTATCTGTATGTACTACATCTGCACATCCTCTTCAAGGGATACACTGGGGATACTGGGCATGGGGATAAACCACCTGCAGTTACTACCACATCACACAAATGTATCAGCTTCTCGGTACAGACCAGTTGCCACCAAACTGTACATCTCTTTTGCAAAGGCTTATGTAGCCCAGTCCCAGCAGTTCAGTACATTGACAACTCAGCTCTGTTCTACCTGAGAAGAGTCTGGAGGTATAAAATGGCCAACCCACAACACTCCTGCTTTTCCCAACACGTTTTGTGGAGAACTAAACTGACCCACACCGCACACAGAAAACTGCTGCAGTTCGCACAGCCCTTTCAGGCAAGATTCTTCCCACAATGATTTGCCATACACTGAGTCAAAGAACATTAGTGAGGAAATGTACCATTTAATTACTGCAGGGACTTGGACTTTTTAATCTGTATTTCTTCCCATTAACACTGCTGGAATTTAGAGTACACTAGATGCAGAGCAGTAAGTCCAGGGTTGATGTATGAAACATACCTCCTCAGAACGGTAACATAAGCACACCGATAAGTAAACATAAATAGATTTCTTATGTGGCCCTGGGCCAGTGTAGCAGAGTTCTTTAGGCCAAGCTTCCTCTCATGCTCTCTCTGTGCATACAGGGGACACAGAGCTACTATTCCTTCATGGTTCAATCCTTCCCTTGCCTCACCTGCCCCATCTCATGTTATTTTACACCACTTCTATACCTTGTACTTACTGTACTTCATCTTTGCAGTCACCAGATGAGCCTATTTTTAAAATGGCTACATCAGCTTGAGCCTATTTTTAAAATGCCATACACCACCTTAAAATGCCCCCTTTGTAATTTAGCTCACATCTGCTTCCTTGTTCCCACAAGTGAGCTGTGTCCTTCTTTGCCTGTTCATTTATTTCCAGCATTCTCACTGTTTTACTTTACACAACTTTGCCAGCCCTACTTGATAGTTTTACCATGCTTTCACAAGAATATGGTTAGGCCTTACAATCTCTACAGGCATGAGCGATCCATAGTTTCTCTGCTTCATCTTAAATTTATTTCATTTATATATGTTTCCATTTATTTTTAGTCAAAGGGAATTCAGAATTCTAGTGTATTACCATCGTTAGATTATCAGAAAGGAAAAAGACATTGGAAATGTTTAGTTACTCAGGAAGCTTTCATCTAATTTAACACGTGTACAGGGAGACTTAGTTATTTTGCATAAAGGAAGAAAGAGGCAAGGCAACAAAAACAGTAATGAAGTTTGAAAAAATAGAGTTAAATGATAATACTAAAAATTACGAAAGAAAATATTAAAATACTTTTGATGCCCTACTTCTGGAAAAACTGAAAAGAGAAGAGGAGCATCCAAAACAAGAGCCTGATATGTGTTTTCCAGGTCTGGCACTTCATTGCGAATGCTCCGTGCTTGACTCACATTCTACACAATCACTCATCACCATCACAGTCAACTGAACCCTACACTTAACCGCAAAAAATCCTTTCCCTCACTTCATTATCTTACTGTAATTATGAAGTATGTTACAGTATTGCTGTTGCAGCTAATTTCCCCCTTCTCATGCTAAACACTAACTGTTGTTAAATCCTCTCACCTGCCCTTTCTGACATTTTTAATGTCATTCTTTCCATGTTGACTGTATAACAAAACTCTGACAAGCTATTCAGAAAGCACAGTCACTCTTGAACTAGTTATGGAGTGTCTATTTCTACTAGGGGCTTACATTGTTTGGCATTCTTTTATTGTTATTATTCAGGTCAGTTTGACCTAACTGAAGGCAGCCAACAATCTGTCCAAGATTCTTCTTTCTTTAAATGAAGTATTTTGGATTATGTTACAACTTGAAAATGATGGCACTAAATAAAGATACTGAAAAAAAAAATCTCCATATTAGGTAGATTCTACTAAAAGGTTATCTTTGGTCCACCATACAAGCTGTAATACCAAAACGTTTATTTTTCTGGTTACCAAGATGTAAAATAGATCTTTCCTTTTCTTGAGAAGAAGAAATTGGAAGTGAACTGTGGTCCTAAATCTCATCAAGAGTAGAGCTAAAGAGATCCCCTTTCAATTTTATTATGACAATCTTAAAAAATAAACAAACAAAAGTCAGTCAGCCAATTGCCACCAGAGTTACCTGAGTAGATGAAAAGTCCACACTGTGAAGAAATTTGCAGTTTTGTCCTAGTGCCTGGAGAGATGCATCCATGATGCCTGAACAGCTGCCCAAGTTCACTATTTGTAGGAACTGGCAATTGAGTGCAAGAGCAAGAACTCCGCTGTCAGTTATATCGCAGCACCTTTTGAAGGACGCTTCACGCAAGTAAGGGCAGGATAAGGCCAGTGCTATGACACCTGTCAAAGAAACAGAGCAATTTAAAGAATTCTTCATTTTTTAACATAACTGCCAGGCTGAATCCAATAATGCTGTCCTCTGGTCATTGGCTGTTCAACTTCCATCTCATGCCATACCAGCAAGACTCTATACAAGGAAATAATAATTTTGTGGTTGGTTTCTTTTAATTCAAGGATGAGAAAAAGAAAATGACAATGAACAATGCTTGAGTTCCATACTGCAGAAGGAACTACCAATAAACTACCAACTTGCCAATAAAGAACTAGATTCCCCAGTTTTAATCGCAAAGTAATCAGGAATGTCTATCCAAATAGACAAAACGTGTACATAAAGAGCTCTAGGCTTAGCTGGTCCCTTAAGAACCATACTAAAGATCAGCAGAGAGATGAAGGCATGGAGGGAAGACCATCATAAACTATGTCTTCGAGGTCAAAAGGTGTAACTATGAGGTGACATTGAAAATAAATAAAAAAATGTTTTAAAAGTTTAACCAATTACTTAAATAAAAAGATAAGTCTAACACTGTGCAGTGGTAAGAAAATACAAACCAAGATTGATCTAAACTATGGCACACGTTAGCTCAATACTAAATATTTTGCCTCTATTTTCAAGAAGAGGGAGTTGATGATGGAACAAAGGAGTAAGTGTAATGAAAAAACAAAACTTGTGGGAAATAAAACTCAAACAATTTTTTTAAGCTAATAGCTCCTGATACAACTTGAAACTGGAGGTTAAAAGTAACATCTGAAATCCTGAAGTCCTAAAGCAAGTCAAGCCTTTTAAGTCAGATAAGATGCTATAGGCTCATTTAATACGAAAACATATTTAATTTAAAAGGCGGGGAAAGTAATTTAGGAAATCACAAGCCTGAAACTCCAACTCCAGTGGTACTGGTGAAGCTCTGAAACAAGTTCTAAGCAAGGAATAATTAAGATGAAGTGGAAAATGCAACCAAATGTAGCACAGTTTTTCCAGAAACCTAGCATGAGAGTAACCTGATAGCTCTCTTTCATAAGACAATCAGTGCTATAGGCCTCTAATTTACACCACTGAGGTAACTTTTAATTAGTATTGGTGTGGCATTGGGGATTTTCTAAGCAATATTTACCCTAGATATTTTTTTCCAATTTACTCCTATCTAAAAAGAAAAATAAATCAGAAATAAGATCCCAGTTATCTGTGCACAGATAACATACCTTCTGAAGTGATTCCCAATCTGTTTTCTTTGCAAGAATTTAAGTTGATTTTTTTCAATTGCTTGCAGTTACAAAGCTGCAATAATGCATTATCTGAAATATCACAGTCTCGGAGGTCTAGAGACTCTACAGCAGGGTGCAATACCTGTAACGAAAACCTACCATTTCAGTCAAATGCTGCTATGTCTTAGAACATGCATATTTTTATCTAAAATACTTGTAATGTTAGACATCACATAGAACTTTTAAAAAATATTCACTAGAGCATGGGGTTACCAGTCCTAGGAACTAAAAACTCTAAAGAAAATATGGTATATTTGTTGCAACATTTATCTACTTTTGCATGGACATTCAGTTTCTGTGGTTGCATCTAGAGTAGGAGCATGTTAACATTACCATTTTAACAGTGGAAGTAGTATTTTGATGGTACAGTTGCTAGCACTTGTGCTTTTGCCAGCACAGATATGATCTGAAAGGTCCCCTCCAGCCTAGACAATTCTATGATCCTATGTTGACCAGGGATAATACCCCCAAAGTTACTAGTACAACTTTGATAGCAGAAATCTGAAGTGTAAAACTGTGATCAAAACTTAAATCCGCTGAACAGATAAGGGTAATATTTGAAAGATATTTTGTCCCAAAGTATTTTCCTCACCTACACACACACTCTTTTCTCATAAACAAGCAATCTCATTATCATACCATGAGGAAGTACCAAATCCTCATTAAATAGGCTCTCTCTCCCACAAGACCAGAGGTTGGAGTTTTTGTGAAATCTTCCCCATGAGGACATTTATGAAATTTAGGCCCAAAGCAATGGAAGGTCTCAGATTTTAGTAGCAATAGCCACATATCTTACGTCTAATTCCATTTTCAAGGATTCTCACTATTTTTTAATAAATACTGTTCATAGCCCTCTCTTATGCAAACATAATATCCTTCAGACCAATAGGCAAGTGTTAGATTGGGTTTTCGCATGACCTTATACTACTCCCTTCAGGTTGTCATTCCCTTCCTTAACTCACAAGGGTGAAAGTGTAGGGTAAATTTCTGTACACAAGCAAAGACAACAGCACAGCTGACAGGCTTGTTCAAGGCCTATTCCTTTCTCAGATTCACCATTCTAACAGGTACAATAAACATACTGTATTCCTCCAATTAGAAGGAATGCTGTTTTTCTGTTTTGCAAATATGTAAGATGCTAAAATCTTTACCGGCAAAGTCAAACGAGCCTTTTGAAGAAAAGCAAGGGCTTCTTGTAGATTATGATTGCAACCTTTCTGCAAAATGAATGGCAGGCCTCATATGGCTTTGACAGCTTTTTCTCCCCAAATGCTAAAAGCCTCAAATACGTCTCTTTGTGCCACAAACCCACCAACACATCCCACAATACATTTGTAAGTAGTTTTCACAAGATAACATTCAGATCTTATTTCACTTATATTTCTGAATTCATATCTAAGGAACAAAACCAACCAAACTCAGAGATGACTTGCCTACAGCCAAAGTGACTATCACCACTTATTTAAAAAGCTTTCCCTGACTGTTTGCTTGCTTTCACAATTCTAAATTGCCTAGGACACAACAAAAGTGAGCAAACTGCTGGTTTTGAAGCCACATGAGAAATCTTATGAGAAAAAGAATCATTAGATGCAAGGAAGTCTAAATGAGAAGCAACAATAATATCAGAATACCACCTATTTAAAGCAGCTAGAGCATTAAGCTTCCATAGCCCATGATTCTTCACACTCTCAGGTATTACTCTGACTTTTGCTCTCTATTGTTTTTCACAGATTCATATTCACTGAATGGATATACTAAAATCTTATCTGTCTCAAAGAAGATTGGATTTTACATAGAGTAAGGATTGTCTGGATGCAGAGTCCAGGAGATTAAAGAATCTATATCCTGCGGACACATGCTGAATGGCTTTATAGATCTTTATGGTAAAGTGAGTTGGAATAAAGAGTTTAGCATGTGTGCAATGGAAGGCTGCTCCAAGCAAAAAGCAGAGGGAAAAAAAAGCACAATACATAAATCTGGGCAAGAACATGGAGGTTAAATATGAAATAGAAGTTTACATATAAATGCAAGTTAACTAAATTTCAAGTGGAAGAAATTTAACTTCGAGCAAAACACTAAAACACCACCAAAGAAAGTACATGGATAAAAGCAAATGAGATAGCATAGTCTGGAAAATTCCAAGCTGCAATACTGTGAAGACTATGAAAGAAAAGGGAAAGACGTAAACAATAGCAAAGAAAAAAAAACCTTTGTCCATATGGAAGACCAATTGAGACATTGCAAATGTGTGACATATAGAATACTTTGGTTATACGTGATGTGAGCAAGTAACAGTAAGAAGAGCTAAACTACATAAGCCATTTTTGCTGTGTCAAGTAACAAGAATATCTGCCAGATGAAAGAACAGGAAAAATGAAGAGGGAAATGTTATGGAGAAGCACTATGAACTCAGAATCTAAGAAGTGACTAGCATTTTTTTTAAAAATACAAGTGAGATAAACTTGGAAACTGTTAGCCAAGATAGCTAAGGTATAGCGTGCCCCAGGAAAGTGATGACAGCTAACGACAGAATTGCAGGAAATTGCAGGAACAGAGAAAGAAAAATAAATGAGAAAAAGAACTGCAACAGAATATAGCAGTGTCAAATGGAAAACAGGCTTCAAGACAAGGCACTGATCAACTGCCGAATGAAGACAAAGACAGATGAGATTTTACTAAGAAACAGAGGAAAAGATTGTAACTTAATCTCTCTAGTTTATTTCCAGACTAAAGATATCCTTATAGGCTTTGTGCATTTATGCACACACAATCATATGGTTTTAATTACGTACATCTCTTAGGATGCTTAGAAAGGATTACTTACTGAAAAGATAGCCTAAATGAAATCGCATCAACTCAAATTTTCCAAAGTAAAATAAATGAATAAGACTGATGTTTACTCCAAGACTTATTTTTCACAATCAAAAAATGGTGCACATTACAGATAAAATATTTTGTTCATAAGTTTTCCACAACACTTCTGATTCTGCCTCTAGTCTTGGCCTCCCTACTGTGGCTCTGAGAAACTGATACTATTTGCCTCTTCCAAGTTACAGGTCAAAGCAGGAATGAACAGGGAGTCATTCAATTTCTGTTTCACCAAGGCCATCCTTTAGCTTTTCTCAGTTCTCACACCTCCCTTTGAGTCTAAACAAGATAACAATAGACATACCAAAATAACAGTGCCCTTGAATTTACAGCTAAAGAAAAGTCATTAACTGGTTTCATTTTGAAACTGTGGCACACACCAGTGAGCAAAAGGGATCAGAGAATTTGAACTACCAATTTCTAGCTCTAGCATCATCATATTTCAAAGAATCAGGATTTAAATAAATTATATGCAGATCATGTGTATAATGTCAATAGAACATAACAGAAATCTAACAAGTTCCTGAAATCTTTTCATTAGTTAATTATCCACTAGCTTCTCGAAACAGTATATTTCGGAACAGAGACTGGTTTGTAATAGACTCTCGTTTCCCCATACTGGAAAGGGATAATATATGCCAGCTGATTATACAGAAGTCAATTATCACTGAAGGGCTAACATTTTTAATTTACTTGTCACTACAAACAATCTTAATACTACTAATACAGGACTATTAACATTATGAAGTTTAAGGAAAAAAACTGAAGAAAGGGACCGAGCAAACAGGCCTGAATTTATCTGTTGTCTCTGGCTGTAAACAGTTTTATTTTATTTCATCTTTTGTATTAACTCTCACAGACAGAATAATTTTGAATGGGTTCTTACCTCACTGATATTTGAATCAGTTATTTGACCTTGCATACTCATTAATTTAATCAGTTTATCCTTTATGTTGGGTGGCAATGGCTTAATATCTGCAGCATATCTGGAAAGGTTCTTTGTCAAACACTGAAGGCATCTGAAAAAAAGAAAAGTCACAGTACAGTCAAAACAAGGCATTACATATTAGAAGTAGAACAATCAAGCCATAAGATGTCATCTTCTGCATCCAGCTACGCTGCCTTCAGATCTTATCAGCTCCAGCTATTCCATGCTACCACCAATTCAGTTGTTGTCCTTTGGAGTCAGTCAACTGATCCTTCTGTGCAAGTGTTCTCCAGTCAACTCTCGGCAAAAATTGCAGGCTCATTCACTGCTACCACCAACCCAGGTCACAAAGTGAGTTTGCTGATACTATATTCACAAGCTCTAGGAAAAGCCTTTTTACCAGCTAAGCCTCCCCTCCACAGGCAGTAAAATCTTTAGTTGGGATAGCTAGTTCCAGTTTACCTCAGTTAAAAACATTTAGAAGATATTTTCAGATGTAGTATTTTGTTCACTGTCTAGTTTGTAGTACTCTTTTAATATGAATTGTACTGTGTAATACTCTGCTCACATTTTTAATAACCCTATGCTTAAAACTGATCACAGAGGATTGCCACCTGAGGCAGAATTTTTTCTGTCTTAGTGGGCTTCACAAAATCACGGATCAACAAGTTCATGTTCCTACAAAGCAGATTGGACAAAATAACTAGTGGATCCATTTGGATATTTACAAGGTATTCAAAAGCCCTCATCACTAATGGTTCTTCAAGAAATTAAGCTGCCCTGGGAAGAGAAGGAATATACACAGCTGGTTGAAATCTGTCACAATCAGAAACATTGATTGGTTTGACTCAGCATAGCCTGTTTTGGGTTTTTTTTTTTAATAGCAGTATTTTACACCTCCTTCCCCCTGCCTGCCCCCTACATGCCTATTTGTCAGAATGATTTACAGAATCATAGAATTGCCTAGGTTGGAAGGATCTTTCAGATCATCGAGTCCAACCATCAATCTAACACTGACAAAAAGCATCACTAAACCATGTTCCTATCAACCTGAAGGAAACAGTCTTATTATTGTATAGGCTGGGTGAGAGATTTTGAACTAACAATATTGCTGACATACACTGCACTTTCTATCCCTTATAAACATCCTGCTCTCTGGAAATCTTTTGTATTCATGGTCAAAATTGTTTCCCTGTTCCCTTTGCCAGATACTTAAAATTGATTTAAAGTTTCCATTCTGAGATACTACTTCATGAGAAATTGCAAACAAATCTCAAAGACAGACAGGGCTTAAGTATTCATCTGAAAAGGAAGGACTAGGCAGAAGTAAATACTAAAATTACAGAACACTGGGTGACACTTTGAGACAGGAATTTGAAATACTAGAATATTATCTATGTGAATGCAACAAAAAGGGATCATGTCAGTAAGAATACATTGTTAAGAGACTCCAGAGGGAACAGAGCCTTCTGTGAAAAAAACATTAAGAACTTTACTTAAGCAAAATAGAACAAAGAGATCAGTATTATCCAGATATATGCGGAACAGTACCCAGATGGAACACTTGAAATCATGGTTTTCAAGGTCAAATATACAGAAGAGTATTTACTTATGCAATATTGAGTACTACAGACAGACACTAATCATGCAATCCTATTTTTTTAAGATTCCTATAGCATTTTAATTTATCATAGGATACATAAAATGTTAATGTCCCAAGCTCTTCAACTTTAAATTACAATTACAATCACAGGCTTACTGAAACACCAGAGGAAACTCTGGGAAGAATTTATGAATGGCTTTTAGCCATTCTGACCTTCAGAACAATCACCAGTTGTTAATATGCTAAAAGACAACTGTTGGTCCTTAAGGAAGGAACTGCAACTCTCTGAAAGGAGATTTTATTATCAAAAAACCAAAGTCCCTATGTAAATGAGGAACATAACTAGAGTGAAGCTAACCAACATGGAGACATATCTGAAAAGGTAACACTCTCGCCTAGGAAAATTTTGAGACTTTAAAAAAGATCACACTACAGCAAAACTAAAATGGAGGGAGCTGAAATGGGGGAGGAAGGGTAATCCCTCACTGCTCCCCTCTTGCTAAGAAACCTAACATGAGTTCATGTAAGTGAAGGAGTTCTTAGAATTGGAGGCTGTATTATCTATCGATCATAGGTACCTGGAGTAGATTCCCTAGGCCAACTTAGCTTTTCTAAATCCTACCCAAAATTTTGAAAGAAAACATTACTGTCCTACAAAACATTTTGCTTTTGTAGAATCAACATTTTTCTATCTACTCACCCTACTAGTAAGCTCAGAGCAGCTCCTGCAATTGCACAGTAACTCTCTCTACTGTATTTGGTCTCTATACTTTCATGTGATCTAGATACACGCAGCAATAACTAAGATTAGTAAGTAAAGAGTATAATGCATTCACCTGGCAGACAGATTTTGTCCCACCCCAACCTGAAAGTTGGGACTTCGGGAAGACCCTCCTGCTGAGTCGTGAGGTTCAGGTTGGACCCCCTTGCTCTGTAAAGAAGAGTTTGGACCCCAGGTTCTGTCACAGTTGGTTTAATACAGCTCAAGCTGGGTGCCCCAAAGAGGGACCCCCTTGGTTCATTTCCTGTGCCTCCCAAAAATAAGGCCTCACAAGCTATGACATAAGCTGTTTCTGCACCTGTGACACACAACAAACACGTCTTTTATCCAATCAAATTGTTCACTGGTTACATGTCCTCTTCAATGGTTGGAATTTTGGTGCAGACGCCTTTACCTTCTTACACAGTTTCATGATCTTTTTGTCTCATCTGCACCTGGATCTCATCCATCTTCTGCTGACTCTGGGTAGAAGGGTCCCTTTCTTCATTTCCAAGAATTATAGCTCCCTTTCCTTTGATCACAAAGGTCACTCTAATTCATATTACTAAGTCTTCATTAATATTACTTATACAGTTTCATTGTGTTAGCTAAATTACAATATATCAAAGTCAAGTAAAACTACCAGCCATTCTTCTTGGACTAAGAAAGAGTTCAGCCTAAGTCACTATGGTGCCAGGTTACAGCTTGCAGCCTAGCACTTCACCTACTCACGCTAAGTTAGCTACTAATGCTAACCAAAGCACACGACTTGAATAACAAAGTTTAAGATTCCTTTGGTTCCCAAGACAGATGCTAAAGTAGGTTTAATGGCACGTAACAAAACAGCGACATCTTCCTGCATTCTTTAGGGTTGGATAATTTATATTCCTAGTAAGACCATAAAAAGAAGCTCTGTTTTGAAACTGATGCTGTACTTCCATCCTTAATTTTTTTTCATGCAGATGAACCCATCTGCAAATATTCTGATGCTTTTTTAAGCCCTTGGTTTTCCCAGACACTGACAGGTCAGGTAATGCATCAGTCTGCAATCGGCTGGGCACTTGTTAATGATACCTGTTAATGATACCTGTTACACAGGAGTTCTCTATCAACAACACATGGAACAATCAAATCTAAGCAATAAGTAACTACATATACTCTTGTGACAACTTACATGCACAGCACAATTCTTTATCATGTAGTGACAACCTTAATTAAAACACCTTTAAATTTGACACTTCATTTGCGCTGCTTTAAGAGTCTCATTTTTGATGGTAGAAAATCTCTTGGTGCTAAGTTTACATCTGGGCATTAACAAGTCAGCATAAAACACCTGCCAGGGCTCTGAGATTTGTAGCAGCAGCCTCCTCCAAGTATGACAGCTAAAGCTGTTATCTGCCCCAGCTACCCTCTCCCCAAGTCCAGCAAGCGATGTCTCTGCCAGGCATCCACTCTATTTGGCAGGCCCTGCAACTCCTACACTGTCAGTTTTCAACCAAGCATAACTATGTAAACCAGAGATAAATTTGGTGGACCTCAATATGCTGGCCTTAAAACTACATCAGCTAGGAGTGCATGGGTACATTGGTCATTTCTCATCTTGGGAACAATAACTTCAGGAAGCAGAAGCTAATATAAGGTATAACTTGAGCAAAGTAAAAAAAAATATTCCTAAATATTTTTCAGTAGGATGCTCTTGTGCACGTGACCTTTGGAGTGCTAATTTTTCTTCTGGGGCATGGGGAAAGGCTAACAAGTGGCAGACAAGCAGAAGATATCATCAACTGGCAGAAACACCTTAATAAATACACTTTCTATTAGGTTTGGAGATTTTCAAGGTAATGACCTTATTAAAAGGATTACTCCACACACTAATAGATTTGTTTCAGTTTTTAGTTTGTGCTGTGAGTTCTGCTAGTTAAACAATAAGCCTAAGGGTTAGCATAAGTAAGAAGCTTAAAGTGAAGCCTGGCATAAATAGACATCCATCACCTGACTGTTCTAAGACAAGAAACAATACACTAAAATTAGACACATTTGTTAAAATGTTGTGTAATTATTGGTTTCAAGTATTAGTCTTACTGGTATAATAATTATACTGCTACAGTATTAGTCTTACTGGTATAATAATTATATTGCTATATTAATATAGAAAATCGTTGCAGCAGTACTAATAAAGTAGTGTGAAAAATATTAGCAATCAATCAAGAGTAGAAATTGTTTGTAGTATCAAGTGCTACAGTACAGGTAAAGAGAAATTACTAGGACTAAGATCCAAGGTTAATCACCAAAACATAAGCACCTAGTGTAATGTACATCTTAAACGTCATTTTAACAGATTAATCATGCCCAATAAAAAATACATGGGTACTGGTTTAGCTTTGCAAAAAAAGAAAAGCCATGAGCAAGACAAAATCCTTGTAATTAATTTCTATTAGCAGTCCAGCTGTCATTACACATCACTCTAACCAAATATAAAGTCCACACAGAGGTTGAAAAGGCTAGTTCCACCCCCTCATCTCCCCAGCCACTTTTTTACTGTGCTTTCCTCAGGCTGGCTCTGAAATTCACAGTTGCACAGTGAGCTGTTTGGCATCTGATCTGAATGAAAATTCCCGTAACTAAAACCGTGAGCTCACAGAAATAATATTGCTAAAAGAAGTGCCTGAGGGCAGGGGGCAGCAGCAGCCAAGACTTAAGCCAAATTAGATTTAGCATATAGCCACAGCTCTTGAGCCCCTAGAGAAAACTTTTTTGCAACAGAACCTTGCCTGGCACCAGAACGCCACCAAATCACAGCAAATTAAACTCATACTGATTAAAACCTCTGAAAAAGTAAAAATATTAAGGCTCTATAATCTGCAGTGTAGCACAGATTTAACCAAGGAAAAAAGCAAGATTTCCAGTGAGGAAGCACATTAAAAAAACCTCAAGTTAGCACAGTGTAATAAGGGCACCTGTAGCTGGTCACTGCAGAAGACATTTTAACAAGGAGACTGATTTCAAGCAGAATTTAGGCAGTTTAACCACAGGTCTTGGCTGCAGTGATCACTGTATGTCAGCATGAGCAACCATACCTAACCTAACCTGAGCACACACCGTGACCACCTTTAACTTGTTCCTCTGGAGATGTGTAAGAATTAATGCCTCCACGGAACCTCAGTGACTGCTGGCTGAACTTGCCTGACTGACTGTAACAGAGAAACCTGTACATGGCTCTGGCTCAGTACAAGCCAGACTAAGGTTAAACAGCCTATCTACATCTAACATTCCTTTACTCAACGGCAGAAATGAAGAACAGTTGTTTACTTCTAAAAAAATCTTAAAGCTTGAAAGACCACAATGAGTGTGAACCTCACCATAGATGGGATCCGTGCAACATGCCAATCACTGTGACTCTATGCTGGGATAGCTGGGGTCCTCAGCATCAAAAGGGACAGAAGACCACTATCACGTTTTCTATTACTATTCTTTATACAATAAACCAGTTAACTAGCCTTGAGAGCCCATGCCTTTCTCATCAAGATCCTCAATGAACCAAAGCCTCCTTGGTGCAAAACAGCCCGCGCTCTTTGGCTAGGGTGAGTCAACAGACTTTCTGAACCTCTTGGGGGGTTATGAGTGCACCTACGGTGTGACTGTTCCCTCTCCTATGACGGCTGCTTATTGAGTCATACAAAGGCCCTTCGTCATACAAAGGCACACACTGTCGTTACGTGCTAAATATATATTTATCATATGACATCTACATTTTGGCCGCTGGGTAAATGATCTTTTCTGGCAGTTCATCCTGAAGGAGGCAGATTGTTTACCTACTGTAGTACATAAAACCAGTTGTATCTAAAAACTTAATGCAAACTTCAGATTCTTTTTTTTTTGCTCTAGAAGCTACTAAGTGGCTAAAGCAGTCATGCTTAAATAGGGACTTGCAAATCTAGACCGACTACTTCATTGACATTTGCAGAAAATACTCCAAACCCAATGCAGATATGCCAATCAACGTGAGCCATGCCAAATCTTCCAGTTACGTTTAACTGTCTCATGACACAGCTTTTTATATTTAGCTGGAGAGAATTTTTTTTATTAATTTATTGCATTCTATTGCAATTAATTTACTAATTGCACTCTTTTCAAAAAGCTGGTTGATATTCTCAGTGTACGCTACTGATCTGCAGTTTAAACAATTTATAATTTAAATTATACATGTTTTCACTGTTATGGTACTTTATAGGAAACAATAACACTTATTGGGCAACTATACACCAGGGCAACTATAATCTTATCTTCAGTGTTTTAAAAGAAGAATAAAAGTCTAAGGCTAACCGTGTTGTTTGCTAGCTATTTTTCTTTTATCTGTCAAACCAAATATTTTATCTCTATGCTGTCTCTAACTCCGTCCTAACACAAAGGAATGTGACATATGAAAAACTCAAAGCGAAACACCATTCAGTGGATTCACTGGGGCCAGGTGAAGCCAGAGATCCTCAGCCATCCAGACCTGTCAGGGATCATCCTGTTATTTACCTGCCAAACCCTGTCACCCGACCAAACCCTGTCGCCCCTGTCAAACCCCGTCACCTGTCCTGTAACTCCTCCCAAACTGTCACCTCTGCCAAACCCCATCACCTACCCTGCCAGCCCAAACCCTGTCACCTCTCCCTGTAGCTCCTGCTGAACTCTGCCAAACCCTGTCACCTAGCCCTGCCACCTCTACCAAACCCTGTCACCTGCTCTGTCACCTCTACCAAACCCTGTCAGCTCTCCTGAAGCTCCTGCAGCTACTGCTGAATTCAGACAAACCTTGTCACCTTCCCCTCCCACCACTACCAAACCCTGTCACCTGCCCTAGCACCATCATCACACCGTCACCTCCACCAAACCCTGTCACCTCTCCTGAAGCTCACGCTGAACTCTGCCAAACCCTGTCACCTACCCTGCCACCACCAAACCCTGTCACGTTCACCAAACCCTGTCACCTCTCCCTGTAGTTCCTGCTGAACTCTGCCAAACCCTGTCACCCACCTGTCACCACTACCAAACCCTGTCACTTGCCCTACCACCACCATTACACCGTCACCTCCACCAAACCCTGTCACCTATCCTGAAGCTCCTGCTGAACTCTGCCAAACCCTGTCACCCACCTGTCACCACTACCAAACCCTGTCACCTGCCCTACCACCACCATCACACCCTGTCACCTCCAGCAAACCCTGTCACCTCTCCTGAAGCTCATGAACTCTGCCAAACCCTGTCACCCACCCCTGCCACCACTATCAAACCCTGTCACCTCTCCTGAAGCTTCTGCTGAACTCTGCCAAACCCTGTCACCACTACCATACCCTGTCACTTGCCCTACCACCACCATTACACCCTGTCACCTCCACCAAACCCTGTCACCTACCCTGCCACCACCATCAAACCCTGTCACCTACCCTGCCACCGCTACCGAACACCGTCACCCTCTACCACCCCGGCAAAGGCCTGCCCAACCCTGTCCCCCTGGCCAGACCCTTTCTCCGGGCTCCCCCCAGCTGAGGGCCCCGCCGGCTGCCCCGGTGGCGCTGCGTTTACCGGAGGCGGTGGCCCCGCTGAGAAGGGGAGGGATCTAACCCCCTCGGCCGGCCCTAAACCCACCGCACGTCCCGGTGGGTACGGGGGAAGGGAGGGTGTCGGGGCGGCACTCACAGGTCCAGGAGGAGCTGGACTTCCTCGCCGGTGCCGTCCCAACCGCCGCTGAGGCGGCTCATGGCGGCGGGGAGCGGGGGACGGGGGACGCGACGCCGTCCCGACCCAACGGCTCCGGGGCGAAACGGTGCCGAAATGGCGGCGGGTGCCTCCGCCAGGCGGGCATGACGGGAGATGTAGTCCTGGGCTCGCCTCAGGGGCTGTGGCGGGAAAAACGGCAGGAGGGCCTCGGAAATATTGTGAAAACCCGCAAGTCTCGCAAAGGGGACCGTCTCTCCTCACTTACAGCGCTGAATATATATGAATATATTTCCCTCTGCTGCCGTCAGTGGAGTCCCACCACAGCACCGGGTTCCCTCATCACCATTAATCTGCGGGCACCAAAGCCTGCCAGCTGCCAGAGCTTTCTACCTGCAATTCCTTTTCTCTCTCTTCTCTTCCTCCCCCCATCTTTTTACATTTCTGGCTGGATAGTGTGATACAAATTGAGACTGCACAGTCCTTAGGTGCTAACAGCATAATTAGCCTATCAGTGTTGCAGCATTACCTTCAGACCCAAGACCCATCCGCTGCCCCTACTAAAAAGAACAAGTGATCCATTCAGATAAGGAAACCTCTGTTCTCGCAAAATTAACTGAAGGATCCATATCTTGAGAGAAACATGGGTTGCTGGTGATGCCCGATAGCTTTGATGAAGTCAACGACTGAAACATCTGGATTAACAGATAAACCGCAAGGATGCTGATCTGACACGGCAAGGCCTACAAAGTGTACTTCTTTATGATTGGATAATTAGAAATATGCATTAGTAGGTAATTGGATGATTCATATCTGACCCTTCTAGTGTAAGCTATAAAACCCCTAAAGAAGAACCCCTTGAATGTGCCCACCTCATGCGAGTCAATATTTTTCTTTTGTAATTCTCTTCAGTCAGCATAGGCCAGCTGTGAATTTTGTAATAAAAGCAGGAGGCCATGAAGCTAGAGAGCAAAATTTGTTAAAACACATTTCCTCTCAGTGGCGCAAGCAAGATGTCCTCGAGGAGCCTCAGCACCATGGAGGCCAACAGAAGCAGGTTGGCCTCAGCCATCATGGAGGCATCTTTGTCCCTAAGGAAAAGCGGGAGAGAGCCGAGTCTCCCTGAGTGGCTGGTGACTTGGAGGGCTCGTTCCCTAAAAGGACATGACATGTCCTAAAAGGACACGAACAAGAAGAAACATGATGCTTGTGAAGTGTGTGATAGGAAGGAGAAGTTTCATAGACCACGTGGGCAGGCTGTGACTTTTTTCTCTCTATTACATCAAAATAACTCATGGGATTCTTGACAGTTTAGGAAAGCATTTTTTCCAACAAAACACGTTTGCAAATATACACAATTAAGAACTATTTATTTTAGCACTGGGAAGGCAGAAACCCCCATTGCTAGTGGGAGGTGCTGGGTTGAGCAGGGAATGCTGGCAGGCCGCCCTGGAGATCCCTCTCCTGGGGTCAGGAGACAGGACAAAACTGCAGCAGACCGTGTGGTACTGGCAGATTCTGTGGTGCCTGCTTGGTGACCCTAACCAGCAGACACCCCTGGCTGACAAGCCCCCGATTCTTTTGCTCATTTTCACAGGATTCCGTGTACCACATTTTCTTCTCCCATCAGCTAGTCTGGCAGTAGGCAAAGGCTAGTTGGTAGCAATGAGGCTAGGGTCGTACTGAGAGTATGTTTACTCTTCCTCAGTTCATGGGCTGGAAATAGTTACCAGCCCAATTACAGATTTTAACTGTTTAACCTCAGGAGTTGCTTCTGAAGCAGCTGATGAACTGCCAAACTTCACACACCCCTGCTGCATCTATCTTAGCCTAGTGACAGTTTCAGTTTATCTCAGGGAACAGTTACATGCTGCTCTTATACTGCTTTGACTGCAGGCAGCTGCAGAAAGGACTTCAGTCACATCAACCTAAACATGGTGAGAAACTCTACTGATAAAACACCAGGCTGTAACCAGTGATTCAGGAAGTACCTGAACATAGACTCTCCGCAAAGCTGCTTTTAGTAGATCAGGCCTCAGCTTGTACTGGTACATGAGGTTATTTCTCCCCAGGTGCAGGACAGCATTTTGCTGAACTTCATGAGGTTCCTCTCTGCCCATTTCTTCAACCTGTCAGTTGTTTCTGTTCAGAGGGACATCATCAAGTACGTCAACCGCCATTCCCAGTTTTGGATCACCTACAAACTTGTATGTTCTTTTCTCCATTGTAAAGGTCATAAATGAAGATGTTAAGTGGTATGACCCTAATACACTGCTGATCCCAACACATTGAAACCAGAAGTTCAGGCTTTTTCCAGTCTACCTCACTATCTGGATAGCAACCTGATCTAGCTGAACAGCAACCTGATGAAGTTGTCCCTGCTTATTGCATGGGGGAGGTTGTACTAGATAACCATTAAAGGTCCCTCTAACCCAAACTATTATATGATTCTGTTCCATGATTCAGTGGTTCTAGACTTCATCAGCTTGTCTGTGATGCTATCAGAGACCGCCAAAAGCCTTATTAAAACAAGAAACACTTCCACCCTAATACCCTTATCTACCAAGTCAGTCATCTCATCACAGAAGGCTATCAAGTTAGCGAAATACAGTTTCATCTTCATAAGTGTCTGCTGACTACTCCCAGTGACCTTGTCTTTCATGTGTTTGGCAATGGGTTTTGGGAGGATTTCCTCCATGGTCTTCCCAAGGAGGGATGCGAGGTTGTAGTTCCCTAGGTCTTCCTCATTGCTGCCTTCTCTCAGGAACTTCTAGCATACCACGACCTTTCAAAGATAACCAAGAGTGGCCTCACAATGACATCAGCCATCTCACTCAATACTCATGGATACATCCCATCAGGGCACATGGACTTATTTATGTCCAGTTGGGCATTCCCTAACCTTATCCTGCTCCACCAACAGCAAGTATTCCTTGCTCTAGACTTCCACTCCCAGCTTCTTGTGAAAATTAACCCTATCCCAGTAAGAACCAGGACATTATCCACCCATTATTCTATACTATCTATGTCATGCCCAGATCTTACGCTTTCCAATTAATCACAACCATTTTTCCTTGTCTTTGATATATGTATACACGCACACATAGATATAATTCCCTTAGTCTATAGATTATCCCTTTAAAATGTCTGTTGGGTTTATTTATTCCATGACTTTGTGCTCTACCTGTCATAACTGTCTTGCAGGGCAGGGAAGATGGCAATTGTGACATGACTGGGCCAAAAAATCAGAAGGAACCTATAGGATGTTGGTCTAAGGCATTACAAGGCTGTGCTATACATTATGCCCTGATGGAAAACCAAATTTTAGCTGTAGTTGGGGCACTACAGAAAACTGAAATAATCACAGGCCAAGATAGTGTGACTGCACACACGCCCATACCTATTCATGTTTGGTTAGTCTGCAGAAAAGGAGGCTGAAGGAAGATCGTATCACTCTCTATAACTGCCTGAAAGGAGATCGTAGGGAGGTGGGTGTTGGTCTTTTTTTCCCCAATAAAAAGTGATAAGATGAGAGGAAACAGCCTCAAGCTGCACCAGGGGAGGTTTAGATTAGATAAGGAAAAATTTCTTCACCAAAAGGGTTATCAAGCATTAGAACAGGCTTCCCAGAGAAGCTGTTGAGTCACCATCCCTGGTGGTATTTAAAAGGCGTGTAGACATTGTGCTTAGGGACGTGGTTTAGTGGTGGACTTTACAGTGTTTGGTTTATGGTTGGACTTGATGACCTTAAGGATCTGTCACGGTTTCAGCTGGTATGGAGTTCTTTCTTACTAGCAGCTGGTACAGCACTGTGTTTTGGATTTGGGATGAGAATGGTGTTGATAGCACACTAGTGGTTTTGGTTGTTGCTAAGCAGTCAAGGACTTTTCTGCTCCTCACACTGCCTTGCCAGCAAGGAAGCTGGGACTGCACAAAAATTGGAGCCATCTGTCTCTTCCCATCATGATATTCCATACCATATGACATCATGATCAGCATATAAAGTTGGGGGAAGGAGAGGGAAAGAGGGAACATTTGGAGTTATGGTGTTGTCTCCCCAAGTAACCAGTATGCATGATGGAGCCCTGCTTTCCTAGAAGTGGCTGAATACTTGCCTGCCGATGGGAAGTGGTGAAAAACATCCTCGCTTTGCTTGCGTGCGTGGCTCTTGCCCTACCTATTAAACTGTCTTTTGTTCAACCCACAAGTTTTCTAACTTTTACTCTTCTGATTCTCTCCCTCATCACACCAGAGGTGGGGTGGAATGGGGAGTGGAGTGAGCAAGCAGCTGTGTGGTGCTTAGTTGCCAGCTGGGGTTAAACCATGACAAGCTCTTTTTCCAACCTAAATGATTCAATGGGTGGGTTACTGATGATTCCATTAAGGGCCCATGCGGGGATAGCTCAAGCAGCCACACACTGGAAATGGAAACATTATTTACAGCAACAATTTCTACTGGGAAGACCACGTGTATCCACTCCTCCCAGAGAAGCTGTTGAGTCACCATCCCTGGTGGTATTTAAAAGGCGTGTAGACATTGTGCTTAGGGACGTGGTTTAGTGGTGGACTTTACAGTGTTTGGTTTATGGTTGGACTTGATGACCTTAAGGATCTGTCACGGTTTCAGCTGGTATGGAGTTCTTTCTTACTAGCAGCTGGTACAGCACTGTGTTTTGGATTTGGGATGAGAATGGTGTTGATAGCACACTAGTGGTTTTGGTTGTTGCTAAGCAGTCAAGGACTTTTCTGCTCCTCACACTGCCTTGCCAGCAAGGAAGCTGGGACTGCACAAAAATTGGAGCCATCTGTCTCTTCCCATCATGATATTCCATACCATATGACATCATGATCAGCATATAAAGTTGGGGGAAGGAGAGGGAAAGAGGGAACATTTGGAGTTATGGTGTTGTCTCCCCAAGTAACCAGTATGCATGATGGAGCCCTGCTTTCCTAGAAGTGGCTGAATACTTGCCTGCCGATGGGAAGTGGTGAAAAACATCCTCGCTTTGCTTGCGTGCGTGGCTCTTGCCCTACCTATTAAACTGTCTTTTGTTCAACCCACAAGTTTTCTAACTTTTACTCTTCTGATTCTCTCCCTCATCACACCAGAGGTGGGGTGGAATGGGGA